TAATAATGGTGGATCATTTGTTTTAACAGAAATATCAGAGAATGATTGATGAGTTGATAAAATTGAAGTATTTGTTGATGATGGTCGATAAAATGATGTTGATAATTTACGAACAGATTCAGATAAAACTGGTCGAAGAATTTTAAATTGTTTTGATAATAATGGATCCCATATGAATTGTTTAATAATACATATTGTTATAACAATAGCAAAAGCAATTAAACATGATAATGCAATATATGCAGATTTATTAAAATATGGTGGTATAGGAGTTGTATTCATTGCAAATCTAAAATAAAGAATATTGATGATGAACACGAGAGCATTTACAAATTTATATGATACTGTCACGAAATTTTCAGACACATTATATTAAAATAATAATTTTATAGAGATCTACTTCTAGTTAAACTTTAGAATCATATAGAGTCTATTAACTATAGATATTTCTTTCTAAGTATTTTTGAAATATTATCAGATTTTTTTTTTCCACATACTCAATATAATTCTTTTTTTGTCGATCTATTTTCATCTATTAAGTGTGCTTATACACGTAACATCAGTTTAATAATCTAGTGGTTCACTCATCAAAAGAATAAGAAGACAAGTTCAGTCGATAATAATAATAATAACCATAATACTATAAATAGATAGATATTATATTGATAGATGAACATAAACCTACTTGAAATAATATGAATGATGAAAGCGATTCTTCCGAAAAAAATGAATAGTCGATTGTAACATCTAATTTATCTTATTGCATTCGAATGCATTTTTTATCATTCTGTCTGAAATATTCATCTTATGAAAATTAAATTTGCAATTCCTTTTTTTCTTTTTTCCTCCTACATCTTTAGGTATGTTGTCGTCACATTGTTTTTTTTTCTCTGAAGGGGAGAAGAAAAAAAATATGGTCATAAAAAATTGCTTTTAATGCGGAACATAGGGCGGATAAAAAAAGAAAATGTGTGATGCTACAACGCAGGAGCTTACATGTCAACTAACATGAAATAGTTTCCTGACAAGAAAGACGAATATATATATAACGTTTGATAATTGCACGCTCAATGCGCACGACTTTAACCCGTAATTGAGTTCGTGACGTTGTTCATAGTCTTAACTAGACGTCAACTTCAGTTTATATAGCAAATGAATAACGATTGAAAAAATATATATGCACAAATAGTAAAAGAAAAAAACTGAAAATTTAGATTTACCATATATATATGTTCATATCAGTTATCCGAACACAAATAATTTTTGTCTAATATTCAACTTATACAGATTTGATTCTTTTTTTTTTTTGTTATATTTAATCGTGAGCAAAAGAAGACGAAGAATCGATAGATAAAGATAATTAAGTTTGTCAAGTTTTCTTTTCTATCCTACCACTCTTCTCTCGTTCTTGTTCCGCTCTTCATCTATTCAATTCTAGTCTAAGAACAAACCAAAAGAATAACAGAATAAAGACTAACTAATGAAGTCAGAGAAATGAATGAACATGGATCAGTAGATAGAAAAAAATTCTTGTTTTATTACATTGATAAAAATTTGTTATCTCTAATATTTTAATAAATATTCACATTAATGATCAAATTTACACAATAACAAAAAAAGAAAAAAACAAGAATATTGAATCAAATTTGTTTCATTCAATTGAAATTCATGATATAAGATAACATAAAAGAATCATAAACCTAATTATATATACGATTTATTCTAAACTAATATTTTCTTACAATAAAATATATGAAATTGATAGTGTAACGTCCTTATAATAAACACACACTTTGACTCATATAATTATAAGTCTTTATCGTTGATGACGTATGTAAATCGATCGACGTCAGACATAAAATAATTAATGAATGTTTTGAACGTTAATTAGAATGAAATTTTTTATCTAATAGTTTTCTTTTTTTGTCTAAATCTATTTCATTGATCGTCATTGAACCGATGAAAGAAAATTAAATTAGTTTATTGATGCAGGTCTAATTAAATATGTGAATGAGTATGATTAGAAAAGATATATTTTAATGCTTGCTTTTAGTTCTAAATAGCACTACATAGACAACATACACACGTTATTTTAATAGATATAATAATTACAATCATTATTAACAGAAGAAAAATACGAAGAGAAAATGTTCTAACACGTAAATACGAATCTATTTTTAAGACTATATCAAGGCTACACATAGAGATCATTATTATTATTATTTATTTAAGAAAAAAAAACATTTTTTTTTATAACCCTATAATGATGTTTCAAAACGTTTTTTTTTCAAACATTGAATATGTCAAAAAGGAAGTAATCATTTCGACAAAAATAAACAATATTTGAAGTCGAAAAATTCTTTGATCAATTTTTCTTTCAATATCACATCTTATGATCAAAACAAAAAAAAACCTATCGTAAGTTAGTAGAGAAAATTATGTAGATCGACGTCTTTTTGACTTATGATAGCCTAAAGCTAAAGATTTTCTATATACGTCAAAGATATATGCTCAAATGTGATAAAATTACTTCAAGCAATTCTCTTGAAATAAATATCTATGTCTAATTAAAATTTAATTAGAAAAGAAAAAAAAAACAATGAAAACTTCATAAAAATTATTTCATGATTAATAATAGTATTAAATACACTTCGTTTAACTTCAAATATATAAAAATGACAACATAACATTGAAAGATCTATAGGATAAGGTTATTGATCTTAAAATAAAAGATAGATTTAATAATCCTATTCATAATATAGGTATTGTTTTATTTTTTGCTATGATATGATCTACTTCATTACTTGAAATAAAGAATTTTTACTATAATCATTGTACTTTGAATTAGTAGATTAAAAAACACATTCACAAAAAGTTTAACAGTTTTAAACGAGATAAGTCTGTCTATTCAAATTGATTTTATTGCTGAAAAAAGAACTATTTTGAGTATATGATAATGAATTATTAATATAAAATATTAGTAGTTTATTCTCAAATCAATCGAGTTAATTCGATTTATAACTTCAATCAATTCACTATTGATCTAATTAATATTATTAGAAGTTTTTTTTTTTTCAAAATAATCAACGGAAATTATTTTTCAAAGTTATTAAAATAATCTAACAATATTTTCATTAATTATCATAGATCGAAATCTGTTGTAAGTTATTCTATGTTAGTTGAAAATAATAATGAAAATCAAAGTTTTCTATGTAAACTTCAAGATAGTATAATAAAATAAAAAATTTTTGAAGAAAACAGTATGTAGATGAATCTGTTTGAAAAGAAGATCTTCACTCAAAGAAAGTCTAGTTCTCGTGATTTAACTGAGTTACACAATGTTCATCTATTGTTTGGAAACAGATCTCCATTATGAGCAAAAACAAAATCGAACTCGAGATTTTTGACAAAAAATCATTTGCAGAATCACATTTTTTCGACTTATTTAAACGTTTAGTCAAGTTTTATAAACATCATTATTTCTTTCAAAGTAGTCATTTGGTTGATTGAAAAATCGGATGGGAATAATATGACTCCCACTCCTATTTATAGCCTCAGTTTCTATCTTATTTTCCAAAATTATCGATATCTCAACGTCTTTCAACATAATTTGGTGCACTGATTCTGGAATTACCCACGTTGACTTTAATAGATTGTTGTATTAGTTATTCTATTGAACTAAGTTAAATATATATCTGATTATTTAATTCTATGAAACATATTTTGTCTTTATCAAATTAAGAAGATACAAAGAGTAATTAAACTTCTTCATTTATCTTGCTTCTTTATGAGACTAATATAGTTTTGATAGTATCAAAAGAAAAACATGATTTCTAGTTGTTACTCTTAACTCTTAAACATTTATCTAACGACATTTTTTGGCATTAGACTCTTCTTTTTGTGTCATAGCAATTAAAGACTATTAATAAATTTGAATTCAAAGTATATCTAGAAAAATTTTTAAATAAATACATATAATTTATACTCTATTCAAATGCTTTCCGATAAACCTATTGACAAGCAATTATCATCAGTTTGTTCTGTAATAAATCTCATGTACATGCCAAATGATGATCATGAAGTTTTCCGACCTATACTAAAATATTGCACAATATTTGTCAATTTTTACTAACTACAATATTGAATTAAAAAAAAAGCCTGTCGAGGAATATACTAAGCGAAAATTCAGATAGAATTTTACAGATAAGTACTACTTACTTTATAGTTATTAGCTCTTCGTTACTGATCATGAAGTTAATGTTACATAATTCGTAAAATACTTCGATTTCTATTGATTTAGAGGGATCAAAGAAAAGTATGCTTTACATGTAATAAACTATCTAATTCTAAAAATAGTTTTGATGTCATTCGTTTTGGAAAATAGTTATTTTAATATGTAGAAATAAAATATTCTAATTAATCATTCAGCCATTTTTGTTGTCATGAAATCATCAATAATTTTTCTATCAAAACCGCGCTTAATCATTAAAACTGAGGCCGTTTTCACAATATGGAGTCTTCATTGAATTATTATTCACAGAATAGACTTGGTGAAGTTATGAATTGGGACCATATAACAATATTAATAAACGAAATAAAATATTTTATCGAAAAAATTGGAAATGAAAAAATTTTACATTCTATATTTAACTTTACAGTACTTTTATGTCTGATCAAAAATAAAACGGAAGAGACTATATTCGTTAAGTAAAATATACTATCATATGCAGGATTTCAAACTCTATTTTTAGATACAAATAGTTTTTTAATCAAACGAATCATAGTGAAGAAATTTTGAAAATACTAGGTGTATAATAATTTAGGAAGTACTCGTTCAATAGTATCTTATATTTTTAACTTAATACGAGACGGTTAAGTTATTTCTTAGTTTAACAGTACAATGCCATTCCTACAAAAACATGGTGAAGAGAAATAAACACTTTATTGCTCGAATATGATCAATAAAAGATTTTCGTATTATTTATTCTTTATTCTTTATTTTAAGAGCATTTTGACAAGACGTTTTCGTCGAACTGCTCAAGAACATTGCCCGCTGGTGAGTATCGAGCCACGACATAAACAATACGCTCATCGGCACTGTATGCAATCCCAACGCCGAGTTTATTTGAATTTTTCCATAAAACTTGAGTCAAATGACCTGCTGCAGACGAAAACCCAGGCTTGTTAAAGTCGTAATCTTTGATTTCATTGTACCAGGAGTCTGTCGGTTTATCACCTAAAATGAATATCACTATTGTTAATGAATAGACTAAATAGTGTGTAGCATCTTACCAGTCAATTTAAGAGCCTTTGAGCTGGACTTTTTATAAAGATTTTCGCCAACATTATCCCTATCCGTGCTGTGAGCAAATACGTTGGTTTTGACAAGAGTCTTAGCATAGGATTGAGCGCCTCGGCTAAGACCATCATCGAGTACAAGTGACGGCACACAATGTTGCTTTCTATAATTATTGTGAGCCTTCAGCATTTCTTCTTGGAATGTCTTCTGAGCGTCAGTAAAACCATTCGTTTCTTGATTTTCTAACCCTGGTAATAAAATTAAAAAGTCAATACTGCTCGATTTATACTACAGTCAAATTTATTACCAGTATTGTCTGCTGCTAATGCTTTTAAAGGAACACCATCAAAAAGGAAAAGTATGGTAAGGAGATACCACTGCATGTTGTCAATTTTTTTGTTAGATTGATATGAGAAGACAGATAAAATGTGCAAGTATTTAAATGACTCTGATTAAAAAAAAATCATAATTACTTACTTTTTATTCAATGATTTCCTGATTCGTTTCATATCATTTGAGTTCCATTATGAGATTGTTCTTTCTATATATTTCATTATGGTGCACGCCATTAGTAATGCTCTCTTGAGCAAGCAAATAACGCAGAAAAAAATAGGAGTGCGGGTGTGAGTATATGCTACAGTGAATACAAGAAATATGCATACTCAAGCTGGCACACAAAGACAAAGATCGGGCTCTGTTCGTTTTTTATTCAAGTTTTTGTCAGACTAGAGTTCATCATCCTCCTAACTATTTTGTTATCTCTTTTTTGGTATATTTGAAAATTCCATAGAGAAAGTGTTGTTGAGATGGAGCACCACGTTCTTTTTCTGTTATCTTAACCAGATAATCACCAACTGCTCGAAAATTGTAGAAAATTATCGAAACATCTGGCAAATTAATCTTTTGATGAAACTTGTTGATCTACTATGTTAACATAGTGATAATAGAACAATTTTCTTCAATTCTCAGAAGAGTAAAAATAGGCACAAGGATCCTTATATCTGCTCTTTGGCGTACCAATTCATTCATTGAATAATACATTGAACCGCCAGTATACGAGCATGCACCAACAAATATTCTCTACCACATATAAAAATTCATCGGAAAAGAAATGTCACAAATTATACATGTTTTCAAAATAGTCTATTGGTGCATTACTACAAAAAAGTCGCTAGCACATATCTTATCAATGTTAGATCTTCTTTTGACACTTATCGATCAGCTGTGGATGAATAGAAGATCCACACTCACACCCACTGTCTATCGAATATAGTATTAGCTTTAATTACATGGTTAGCTTCAGTACAGTTTGAAGATGACTATTTCAATTTTAGGAATTTGAATGGAGTGTTGAGTGAACAAAAACTGAAATGTTTGGGAACTTTCCATCAGTTTCTGGGATTAAATAACATTGAACCAAAGACAGAGTGCATTTTTTTGGAAACATACAGTCTCTTCGATATCGACTAAGAATAAGTCGTCGAAACCATGAAGAATCTTCTTGCGACAATTACGATAATCGATGATAGGAGATTTAATATGGACAGGTCAAATTAGTGTCTATAATTCACCCTAGCATTTGACCTTGTTGATCAACAAGATTGTTAAATTTTTCAACTGAATCCTTTTTCGTAGGACTCGAATGAACTTGTTTATTGAATTTTATTTTGACGAACAAAAAAATCAACACAAAGAGCCGACTAACAACTGCTAAGGTAAAAAACCTAAATCGATATTGAATCTTTGTACTCGATTATTGTCACAATCAACGACATAGAGATTGCCCTGTCGATCGAATGATAAACCATTAGGACCATCGAATTGATTTGATTCTCTTCCTTTACCGTTTCCACCAACAAGGATATTTCCTTGCTTGACTCCTTTCAGCCAACACATAATTCGATGATTCTCGAAGTCAGCCACGTAGATAGTACCTAATTGATCGACAACTATTCCTCGAGGACGTGACAATTGTGAAGAATTATTTTCAAGACTACAACCACCGACAACTTCAATACCTTCGGTTGCACCTTTCATCCATTTCATAACACGGCGATTGATATGATCTGACACATACAGTGAATGATCCTTGTCGATGAATATGTATGTTGGACGATTGAACTGATTGAAATCATTCCCTTTTCCATTACCACCCGCTACTAGTTCTCCATGAGTGTCTCCTATTCGCCAACGTCTAATCTCATTCTTCATATCATCAGAAATATAAAGAAATCCATTGTCGTCCATTGTCAAGCCGAAACAGTCTACATTCGAGATGATTGTTTCTCCATTTGTTCCACCTCGACAAGGCCATCGTACTACTCGCCGATTTTCTGCATCACAGATGATAAGACTATCAGTGTTTGTGTCGATGATTATATCTGTAGGAAGACTTAACTGATTATTTTCGTTTCCACGTCCGTTTCCTCCAGCAACAACTCGACCACTCGTCTCACCATATTTCCACTCCATAATACGATGATTATAGCGGTCAACAATATAAATACTTTGATTATAATCAACAAATAAACCGCATGGACGATTGAGCTGGTTAAAACTATTACCTTGTTGATTATCTCCAGCTACAGTTAGACCGTTCTGTATCCATCTCGCATGAGTATCAATGTTAGTAGAACGTAATGGTACTAAAATGAAAAACAAACTCAAATTGAAATGGACTTCTGATTAGCTTTCTCATAAGCTTTGATATTATCGAAAAAGAAAGGTTCTTCTTAAGGGTACACAAGAGGAGTAACTTGACAGTCTTTCAGGTTGAGCTAAATACAGAAGACACATAATACCATAATATTTATTTCAATCGTTCGGTCATATGTGTTTCAATAGATATTCAAAAGTCGTACTAAGTATTTTAATACAATATACTAACGCAGAAAGTCTTTAGTACACTCACTAGCTCTGATACTTTTGAAGTTAAGTAAACTTATTACGATGGCAACATGCTATGTCTCGAAGGGTTTCGAATAAAGAATAAGCATTTTTTGGTCTATTTCGATTATCTGCTAATAAACTATTATGAATTGAGATTTTATTTCTATTCCAAAAATGCATCATAGTTCTTTTCTTTTTCGCGACAAAAGAGACTTAGCAAAGCTTTAGAAAAATGTAATATCCTATTAAGTACTATGAAAAATTCCTCATTCTCACTACACCGTCCATCTTACAGCACATTAGAATTTGAAACAGTCGCGACTCGAATGAGTGCAATTTAGGATAGGGACTACAATGGTTTTGTATTATTCGTCATCAAAATCACTTCATCCAACATGTTGTCGAATCTTGTCCCGTATGTCAATGCTTAAAGTTCACTACTCGTGGTACTTCACGATTCCTGTGAACAACTTGTAATTTTATATTCATAAACATTAATGTTTACGGTCCTTTAATCAGTAAAGAAACGTTCACAAAAATCCTCAAATATTGTCAGAATCTTACAAAATGGTGTGGTAGATGTTGTGTAATTCGTCGGACCAATGGTCTCCAAAATTGTCGGATTGTTTATCAAAACTGAATTGACAGGCAAATTCGGTTGACAAGGTGGAGCTATCGTTTGCCATGGAGCCTCTGTTTCTTTTAACTGAATGATAAATAAGTTTTCAGCTGGACTCCATTTGCCTCTTACTTTGAAATAAGTACCAGGTATCAGAAGGATTTCATTCTCGCTTGGAAAATGAGAATGCGCTGTGATCAATTTACCATTGACGGTTTCTATACTGAACAAAGTACGCACACCCGAACGACCTACAAATCGTTCCATGATTTCCATCTTGTCTGTACATGAGCTGATGCCCCACCATATCTGATCTGTTTTATATTGATTACTAACATCTCCACGAATACCACGCCATATCACATCTTTGATTGATGGAAGTTTGTATAAAGCAGTGAGAAGAAGTTTAAGATAAAGAAACCACGGTATGAGGTCGATTCGTTGTTCAGAACGGAGTGTTTGGTTGAGAAGTGTATAGAGACTAGAATGGGGCTTTTGCCATTGCATCGTATACAGATGAATAGCGGCCGATTCATCAGGAGTAAGATTATCTTGTGGCTCGCGTGTGTTCCATTTAGCAGTGGATACCATATTATCCAGATTATGAAGCAGGTGTCTCAATGGTCGAACAGCTTCTTCAAGTGACACCAGTGGTTTCTTTTCATAGCCTTCAATTGGTGTCAAGGCTCGCAGGGGCTCTTTGTCAGCATCAAGGAAACGAGTAGATATACGACTTTCGGTTGTCATTAATATTGAGTTATCTGATAAATCGAAGTACTATATTGACGACAAGTAGTATGTTTTTAGTCAAATTATTTCTTTGTCGAATGCTGATGATTGAGAAAATTTGATCGATTTTAAAGAAGGTCAATTTTCTTATTTAAGATAGGTATGTTTGAATTTATGTGCTATCAGATAAATGCCAAAACCGACATATGTATCTAGATGGACAATGCACTGTAATTATCTAGAAATTAAATACTGAAATATTTTCAATAGACATTGTATAATATAAGAGTGCCTCGAAATATTGAAATCTTGTGAATACACTGAACAAACTACGTCGTAACGAGATTATCTCAATAAAATACTGAATATATTAATTCATATTTCGCTTTTGATACTAATATTAGATCATCGACAAAAATAATGGACCAATTGAAAAAATGATCATATTCAACCAAAGATCTTTTAAACGAAACATTTTTTGACAGGAATATTCCAAAATTATTTCGTTTGATAAAAACAAGCCATAACAATCACGACAGTCTCGTGTTCTTTTTTACTTATTTTTACTAATACAGCAACTTCTTGGTAGAAGATGAAGAAAATTGAGACAGAACAGAACGAATGCAAACGACAAAAGGAGAAAAATGAACGAACGAAAAAATGTAAATATGAGTCATTAACACATAGAAAATCTTATTGGTAGACTCAATAGCAAAGTACTCTTCGTTTTTCTTCATCATTGTAATCTTTCAATGCATAGCGCAAGGTTGCTGGATTCAGCCACAAGAAATCGAGTATTCAGTAAATTGTTGGCAACGTGAGGAATGAACATTACATGAGTAATTTTCGAACAATTGATAAGAACAAGGTAGAGAACTGGGGTTTTCATCTTTAGAAAGAGAGAGTAATGATTCATCAAGTCACATAAGATATATTTTTCTTCCATGTTTATCTGAAATTTTTATTGAATTACTTTAAAAACAATTAAGCTTTTGAGATGGGTCTGAAAATGGTTTTCATTAAAATGTAGCAAAAATGTCTATTGCTTACCTGTTAGCGTCAACAGATATCACTCTATCACGGGTGTGGGTGTAGATAGAAGGAATACTCACACATCCACACCCAAAAAGCACTTGAATTTTGCGA